GGGCACTTGATAAATTGCAAAGGGTATAATAGTAACATCTATGAATCTAGACAACAAGATCTCGACAGCTATGATTTGCAAGGGTAAGTCCTTAAAGAAAGAGTGCTGAAAGTAAGAATAGAAAAGCAGTGCCAGGCACTGAAAATAATTGTGGAATTTTGACGACCATCGGTTACCCAGAAAGGGCGACTAGAAGGTGCAGTCTTTTGTTCCACCTCAACTTCCGACTCTATCGAGGTGAATGTTGCCGTCATAGTGATAGCTGGCAGCAATGAAACGACCAGGCCAGAAAGGGGTATAGATGACGATGGCGATCAACAACGGAAGAGTGTCCAGGCCATAAAAGTAACCCTCGGTGGTCGCGAAGTAGCCTTGATAGCCTTGGGACAGTTCGATGACACGATAAAATGAACGAATCTTGATACAAGTTGTTTTTTTTATCAGTATCTGCTGGCCGTGATTTGATCATAGGAACGCACCAGGATTCCACAGCAGCTGACGCAAAGTGCACCAGCAAGGGCACGCCAGTCGTTGTACCAAGCCTCCGATCCATCTCGGCCCCAAAGTCGAGAGTCCTTGTGCACACGTTGCAAAAATATGCCATAGATGACAATGAATACGGCGAACGACACCAGCTGAAGGATGAGACCAGCGAGGAATATCTACGAGCAAATTGATTGAGCACAATACGACGGAAGCATCGTAAGGTACGAACACGGGCACCAAGGGTACTTCCCGACGCCGATGCCGAGAGGCCTCCTCCCGCAGCCTGTAATATTCCGATGAGCCTTTGTTTCCGAAGGCTGATAAACGGCTTACCTGGACGAGGAAGGTTAGGACATCAGAAACCACAAAATACCTGGTGATCTTCAGAGGAGATATGACGAGGTACTTCTCAGCGCCGAGATACACTGTGAGTCGGCCCAGAAGTACATAGTCTGCGGCAATGAACGCGCACGGCTTTGTGACAGTTAGAACGGTAAAAACGCGCCGCAAAGCCTAGCACATACCGAGAGGATGACGAACAAATTTTGGATAGCATAGAGACTGATGGAGTTCGGGTTAGAGTGGACGGCGAACCGCAGCGCAAAGCCAAGTGCGAAGCCTGTCTCATGAAGCTGTCAGAGATGCGATAGGCAAGCAGGGATAGAAGGGCGCACAGTACTCTCCGATAACGAGGGCCAACATCCACTTGGGTCCCCACTTGTACATGCAGTATGTCTGGGAGAACGCGACCAACAAGATCAACGCTATATCAAGGTCAGAAATCGTGCTGTATATGAAAAAAAGGTATTTACTGAGAGCGATGGCAGTGAGGGTGTTTGAGGCCACATAACCCAATGGATTGTGGCGGCGCAAGATCTCATGAGTCGCATAGGAACTCGAGGCGAGGACATTAGAGCTAAAAGCCGCCACTCCGCAGGCTTGTGTGGCAATTAAGATGCAAATGGCCGAAGTGAAAGCGTCAAGGTTTCCCAGTGCCATTGGGGCTGACAGTGACAGGGATGGGTGCAATTGTAGACATCGTCAAAGAGTTTGGCAGGTTTTATGAACAGCACATGCTGCGGTGTCCTCTTGGCAAGAAGGCGTCCACTATAAATTTAAAACCCACAACGTTACAGTTGCTGCGGTTCTTACGCCCATCACTATCAGCGCCGCAGTGAGGACTCGGACGTCGATGCCCAAAGTTCAGGAGGAAAAGGTGATAGATGCATAGCCGGCACGCAGTTAATGAGGACCCGCAGTTACAGGCGCGAGAAGTCGACGTTGATGTCAGGGACCTTATCGTTGACGCGCCTCAAAAAACGCGCGAGACGCGTGGGGCCACTACTGCGGAGGCTCATGTCATTTGTACTCCGACTTAATTCAGCTTTTTCCAGCTCCTGCCTCCGACTCGCGTCGATCTTCAAGAATTTAAAAACTCTCTCATCGCCTTCAAGCTTGACGTTTGAAGCTCGGTGGGCCTAGCGCGACGACCTTATTTCTTGCTAGTGCTTGAGTACCGCTATATTTGATGCTACTTAATCACGGGTGCATAGCATCCTCTGCAACCTATCAGTTCGGACTAGTGGTAATTGACAGGACCTGTTAAAGTTTGCAACATGTCCACATGCATCCACGGCGAGGATCTCGTAAATGTGCGGTCGTAATCATGATCCCAAGGTACTTGGCTCTTCTCATGGGGTTGGGAAGTTGATGTCGATCTTTGGCTGTTTCCAGGAACCTTACCAATAGGAATCTCGCCAAAGTGTGGCGCCGGTCAATATTGAGGGCCAAAATACCTTTGCAAGATTGTTCTATCTGTCTACCATGTCCATGTCAACGCAACAAGCCGTCACAACGTAGTTTGGTGTCGTCATTTTAGATGACATTCAAGTTCATGGACGTCCTACAAAGTTCAGGGATTCTACCCCTCCTCAGGACATCATCGGGCCGTCTTCGGACCGTATCATCTGCTCCTTGAAAACAACAAAATATTAGTGGCGTGGTCCAGATGGGTACTATTTTAGGAAATGCCGACGTTGGCCGCCAAGCGCGGCCAAGAACCCCACACCACGTGGACTTGTGACTTGTCAGCTGCTCTGTTCCCCAACTTCCCCTAGCTTTCTCCGCAACATTTCGTTTATTCCCCGCCCTCGCTTGGCTCACGGATGATGTTGTTCGAAGGTGCCTGGAGGTGCAGGGAGGTACCCTCCTCTCGCGGTCCGCAATGTCTCCCGGGCCGCCTGTTTCTCTCTGCTTCTTAAGTTCAAAACAACAGAAGTAACGCGCCCTTTGCCGTTGACATCTTTCTCAGTCACCCAACGACTGCCATGATCTTCCAAAACACACGCCTAGCCGCGCTAGTCCTCTTGTTGGCCGTTGCGCTCCCTGTATCTGCTGGCGGCGGCCATGATGACTCGCATAGCCCCTCACATCGCGACTGGCCACATAATCAGCACCACCCCCAGCCTCACATCAAGACATGCACCGTGAAGCACAATAAGAACGGCAAGGACGACTCCGACAACATCCTTGCGGCGTTCAAAGAATGCCAAAAAGACTCCATCATCGAATTCCAACAGGTGGAATACAATGCGTTTACGCCTGTTACGCTTGCTGGACTCGGTAAGTTCCCTTTGGTACGAAGGTCGGCCGTGAACTGAATCTCGGAACAGAGAACGTTCTTGTGCGCCTTAACGGTAATCTTAACCTCCCCAAAGACATAGCTACCGTTCAGGCGGCCATCAATGTCACTTTGAACCAGCCCAGCGTGCGTTGTACCGCGTTTTTCTGAAATTGACGCGTTCAAAACGAGCCACGACCTCTAGACCTATGCGACACCATGGTTCTACATCCACGGGACAGACGTCAGCATCGTCGGGCCTGACAACTCCAAATGGGGGCGCTTTAACGGCTATGGCCAACAATGGTGGGACATTGGCAACCGCGTCAGTCGTCTTGGCATTTTGGCATAACTTGCTCCCATTCATGTGATTCCCCTTAGATTCTCCGTCCTCAACTCGCAACTTTCAATGTCACCAACGGTTTCTTGAAGAACCTCAAGGTCATCAAGCCCGTCGCGTGGGGCTGGAATCTTCCAGGGAAGAACATCCGTGTGGAGGACCACTTTGTCGATGCAGCGCCCAACAATGGAACTCGAGATTCAACGACGGTATGTTGTGAGGCCTATGATTATATGTCGAGGAAGCTCAACTTCGACGTTACAGAGCTTCCCATTCAATACGTATGGAGCCGGCCTCTCACTCCTTCGATGCAGCCGCTCACTTCTCTATCCCCAGTGATGGCTTCAACCTTTCCGGCCACAACATCACCGTCGATGGGTATGTCTCCTCTCCCTCAAGCAGGTCATTATCTTTGGCTGACGGGTACCTGTTCCTCTCAGATACTACGGCCACAACGGCGATGACTGTATCTCGGTGATCAACGGCGCCAAAGACATTGTTGCGAAGAACGGCTTCTGCGGATTCTCTTCTCATGGCCTCTCCATCGGCTCGCTCGGCCGCAATGGTGCTGTCCAAACAGTCGAGAACGTGCTATTCAAGAACTGGACGATGGATGGTGCTGTTTACGGGGCTCGAGTGCGTTTCCGCCTATTGTGCTTCGTGTTAGACTCGAGTGCTGATTGTGCCCGTCGATGGACAGTTCAAGAGCTGGACTGGAGGCATGGGATTCGCGAACAACGTCACATGGGAGGACATTACGCTTGTCGGCGTGTCGACAGGGATTTTCATCACTCAGAAGTACGTTCAATCGCCTCTTCGACAACTGGACTTTACTTACCTACCACGGCCGTCATTCAGCTACTACGATCAGGACAAGGGACCCCGCCCCCCCAACCCCAACAACTCTAGCACACGTGTATCTAACTTCCACTATAAGAACTTCAAGGGCACATTGGGCACCAACTGGAGTGAGTTTTCTCGCTGCTACCTCTCATTAACCTCCCCTCTTACAACCACAACTTGAATAGCGGACGGAACGTGCATCTCTAAGCCCTGCTGGAATTACGTTGCTGGCCTCGATGAGCCCAAGTCGGTCATTTTCGACCTGTATCCTGATACAGGTATGTCATCCCTTCCTATATTGGCCTCATACAGTGCTGAACCAATTTGCCAGCTGTGAACATCACTGTCTCGGGGATTGACATCCAGACCAACACTGGTTCGCACAACACGAACGTGCTTTGTGATCCAACAACCCTTGTAGTCGGCGAGCAAGCTACACTCGGTTTCCAATGCGCGAACGGGCCTTTCGTGGCTGCCTAAGATCGTTGAATCTTCGAATCGCTTGGTTCAGTTCGAGTCGCAGATTATTAGCATACCTCACCCAGGCTGTAATATCGTAAATATACCTGATTTGCCTGGGCATCCAACTACTAGTTGGGGTTGGTTCGCTTTTGACGATCTTGGTCGCGACAGAGAACAGATTGCGGGATCACGTTTGGTGACATAACAAGGATTTCGGTGATGTGAGCTTCACGTAAAAAAATACAAAAACTCTCTGCCTGGGAGTCGAACCCAGCTTTCGCGCGAAAGGGATACAACAAAAGTAGCTCAGCTCATGACAGGCGCGTGTACTAACCGATATACTAGCAAAGACATGAAATTAAAGCCAATGGGAGAGGACACGATTGTGACTCGACACCTTCAAATGGGCTCGCTGACCATTCTGAATTGAGGCCTGCACAAACAAAACAAAATTTGTTCCATGACATGCACGTAGTGAAGAAAATTTTCAGACGTCTTGCATTATCTCTCTGCCTGGGAGTCGAACCCAGCTTTCGCGCGGCCGACATAAATGACAGGCGCGTGTACTAACCGATATACTAGCAAAGACGATGTTGGGTGTTGCTACGTGAGCTACGAGAAAGCTACGAGACAAGAGTGGCGTCAAACAACAATTATCTAGGTTCCAAATTACGGAGAATGCACGACGGATAAATGTCCCAAAATCATGGTATACAGTATGGTATAGTAAAGGAACCCGATATCCCAAGATCTACAACTCGATAGAAAAACTGGTGACCTGTGGCAGGTACGCACCAGCAGCAAGATCTAAAATGTAGACGTCGTCGAAGCTATTGCCTCCATCATAGCCACCGAACAGGAATAGCCGACTATCGGCGAGGATTGACGCGTGGTAGCCTCGCCCGCTGGGGGGAGTACCGTGTGCGATGCGTGGCTCGTAGGTAAGCGACACTGAATATCATAAAGCCATGAGCGGAATTGAAGATACACGTCGATGATGCCTTACCGAGGTTGAAGGGGAGAACATCAGAGCAGTATTCTTCGCCGTTGAAGCCGCCGGTAATAAGAAGGAAAGACCCAACCTGCGTCGCGCTGTGTGCTATCCGTTTGTACTTGTTCGTCAAGAGCGTGACCTGACTCCAATGGCGCGCATCTAGAGTACAAATCAGCTTAAGCTTCTGCAGTAAAGAACGAAAGAGCACATACCAAGATCGAGACACCACACGTCGGTGAAGAAATCCTTCCCGTCACTGCCGCCCACCACCACCATCAAATTCCGCACCAAATTCGCAGTATGATAGCCTCTGTTCTTGGGTGTCCTTCCCGACGTCTGGACCTGCTCCCACTTCATCTTGCTCAATGACGACACATCTAGAGTCCACACATCGTTCAGTGCGTGTAGGCCAGTCCCCCCTCCGAACAACCAGATCTTCTGTCCGTACAGAACGGCGGTATGAGCGCGTCGTGGCGTTGGGGCGGACCCAGTAACAATGGGGGTGGTCCAGTGCCGTGTGGTGGTGTCAAAGACGTAGACATCGTTGAAATACCGCATACCGAAGCCTCCGCCGATCACGACGAGCTTGCGGTCGATAAGGGTTGTAGTGTGCGCGCGAAAGGGTGGGGGGATGGTCCCAGTTGATTCTCGGATGGTCCATTGCATGGTTTCTGATAGATTAAGAAGGATATTGAGCGATGTAAGTTCGTCTTCAACAATGCGACGCACCTGTGTCGAAACAATGCATATCTTTCATGTCTTTATTGGAATCCTTGTCATCGATCCCTCCCACTAGCCAGGCGATATTATCCACCAGTGTCATCGTATGTGCGCGCATCGTCCTCTGAGGAACAGCGCCATAGACGGGGGCACGACTCCAATGCATCGCAGTACTTGGCACAGGTTCCGCGTTCTTGTCATGCGGTAAAGTCGGAATGGCCCTGACCTTCGTGCCCGAGAATGGCAGAGGTGGTTTTCTCGGTTTAGGCAGAATTGAAGTTGTGGTTGAAGCAGATGAAGGGGCCCTCTTTACAGTGTTACTACCGCTGCCAGTCACTGTACCTTCACTGGAAGATCGTCCAAGAGTCCTGAGACTTGCTGTTCGTTGTTTCGATGTGCTCGGACGAGGAACGGCTGTAGTAGGAAGGCCAGGTGTCGAAGTGAAAGAACCTGGGTTGTTAGGCGCGACGGTCGACACATAATCTGATCTTGGGCTCAACACTGTGGGCGTCGAAGGGCCCTCTTCTGGGACGTCACTCAGGCTGCGCGAGAGGCTGCTCATCGTCGTGAATGCAAGAAGAGGGCAAGGGTAAGTAAAGTAAATCTAATTTCGCTTATGCCGTTAATTGTATGAGTGATTGCACGTGGTGGTAATTGATGAAAGAGGCATTCTCCACCAGCACAGTGCCGTGTACAAATTGGTGGGTCTGCCAAGGATTTAATGGGCATCGACATTCTCATCGATACCTGAAAGGCAGGATGCGGTGTAGTAAATTATTTCAAACGAATGTGGTCAATGAGTACGAATATCAACTAGTCCTTCAACAAGTCCAAAAAGCCCATCTTCGCCACCACTCAGAACATGCCCCAAACCAAGAAAGATAACGCGCCAAGCAACATGCCACTAGACTGCGCAACATGTCCTGCCGCGTTCGACGTGGTCGCAGCCGCAGGGGTAGTTTGTGTGGGCGTGGGCGAGCTGCTGCCTGCCGGAGAGCTCGTCTGGCTTCCAGCAACGGCAGTTTTGCTCGCCGTGTTGCTCGTCGAGGTTGAATCCTCCGAAGATGACGAAGTGGCAGGAGATGAGGTAGATCCCTTCTTAGCGTTCGCAATGAAGGCCGCACCAGTCTGAGTGCCGGAAGGATTGACTGAGAGAACGGCGCCCTGATTGCACAGTCCTCCAGCTTCATCGAAGAACCACTGGGGTTCTGTGGTTTCCACAGTAATCGTGTAGGTCGGAAGGCCGGGTGCATCGACGCTCAGAGAATCTGGTACCTATAGTAAGGAAACTTTAGATGGTCATGTACGGTGTAGACCGTACAGCGATAAATTACCGTTTGGACGCCAGTGTTGATTCCACCATTTCCTACACAAGGGTTTTTGAACGTCGATTCTAAAATACAAAGGGAAACGGGAGCATTTTAGCCAAGTCAAAAATAGAACGAGAAATAGACGACACACGAACGACGCTGTGCTGGCCACTCCTGAACTCCCAAACGATAGTGTCGCCTACGGCAGGGTGTATTTCGGATGGGTCAAAGCCCAGGCCCTTCTTACTACAGTCTTTTCTCAGTGGGTCAAGTAAAAATAGTTCATGGGCGGCGCGAACCCAGTCGTCTCGTCTTTCCCCACTCCAACGAGGTATTGTGCTCCGAGAACAAGAGGAAGGGAGCTGCTGAGAGCCACAAGAAGAGTAAATGCCTTGCACTTCATGGCTGTTGAAGGTAACAAAGGGTATTAGAAGTGGGAATAAATGAAAGTGTTGTAAAACGTGGGTGGATGAAGAATTCAAGAAAGGTCGGCTCGGGACTCGGGACGGGTTGATGGCATTCGCCGACCTCAAGTAAGTTCCGCGGCTCATATACCCGTCTCCTGAATAATTCTCCAAAAATTCCACGAAACTTTGCAGGATTGATTTCTGCTCATGATGAGGCCTGAGGCCTGGGAACTCGCATTATAGTGCTAGTGCTTGGGTCGGTAATAGATCTGTTATTGGAAATCCCCCAGCTTGAAAATTCTGGGACTCAACCCATGGGCAGAACTCGCTCGCAATCACACAACCGCTCCTGCACAAAAAGCGACAGGCCCGGGACTCGAACCCGGAATCTCCAGCTAATTCCTTACAATCGGAGGCTGACGCGTTAAGCCATTACGCTAACCCGCCTGTGTGTTGTGGCGCGGCAGTGTCGACACCACGCACTAGTACCTGTCGGTCGGCGATTCAGGCGTTCTTCCCGGTGATGGTTGGGCGATGGTGTTGTAGAGCGCCTAGCCCGCACATCGGAGAAGAGTCATTCGATCGATGTCCCAAGGATTGAGACATCGAAGTACGTCGGGGAGTGAAAATTGAGGCAGTTGATACCGTGACGATTTGTCTGCGTTTCTATAATAGGTGGCGCAACATGCGGGTCTAGTGACACGGAACTCGGCGATTTGGAATCAACGAGTTGCTAGCTTGAACTTCCGAGTCACGGCATAATTACAAATGAATTAGCATGAAGATCTTAGAACTAAAAATAACAAAAACGGCACCCTCGTCGTCCATGGTGACAGAACATGTTGTCAGTGAGTTTCTGATGCAGCTGATTTTGGTCAGTATCGATCATCATGATATCATGTTTATGCACATACGGTGCATAGGGTAGAGACCAGCGCATGGTCACTGGTAGTGGAGTTTGGGAGCACGGGGCAGTAGAAAGCAGGTTGAGGAAAGGAGTTGAAGATACTACCTAGTGGCGACGGGTGTAGTGTCAGGGGGGCGCTGTCACTTAGAAGTCGGATCCTGCTGTGTGCACCCATGCGGCATGCTAGTACAAGATTAGCAGGGATCTATCTGCTCAACTATATAAATAATGATGATCTTGATATCATTTGTCGAGGTAAGCATCCTTAAGGCTTAGTCACTGTTGCATCCTAGATCGTGACGATGAAACCGCTGAACGTCGAAGAACAGGGAGTCGAGGTGGTCACTACTAGTTATAGCCCCAGATCGGGCTAGGAGCGGGGAAGGTCGCCCGTAAGCCCTCCTAGAGACCAGAGTGGACTTTCATTTTAGTAAATCACAGCCATGATCATTGATCATGATTTGTCACATTGACATTTCACCTTGAGTGAGCATTTTGAGGATTTATTCCCGTCAGGCGAATCCGAGAGTGAAGCAGACAGTCGAGAGTCGACTCGTCGAGAGTCACATGTATATATAGGCTATGTGATGTCGAGCATTGATGGATGGTGATAATTTACATCGAAGTTTCGCATCAATGTCAATCTGTCAGTATCCAAGTCTGTCTTGTTGGTCGACCAACGATTGAGATTGTGAGAGTTGCCATAAGTTAGATAGAAACTAAAAATAGTCAAGGTCGATGGCAACGACTCGATGAAAATCGCTTTATGAACAAAAAAAGCTCGTCCTTGTTCCGTAATTTCCACTATTGTGAGGTTTTGACGATCGCACCATCGAACAGCTGAGAAAACGGAAGTAGAGACGCCTAGGAGGGCAAAGTTGAAGTTCAAGGATTGCCAGATCTGACAATTATTGCCGAAAGATGCCGGATGTTGCGAGGGATGGATGGACGTCGACAGCCATGTGGATTGTTTATAAGGTACAGTCTACTAATGATTGATAGGTTCCGTTTCCTTTCTCTCCCCTCTTCCTTCTCCGTCTCTGCTCTGCCTGTGGCTGCCGCCTAGTGCGCTCCTAAGACTACGAACGCCCGACACTGGTGTCGTTTTCTTCAATCGCTCATAAACTTTGAAAGTGCTCAGCCTCAAAGCAATTTACACTCTTTTTTACCTTGAAAATCACCCATAAACTTGAAGAACATGCATTCTCGATCTTTCTTTGTCGCTTTCCTTACCCTAGCTCTTTCTTCTTTCACCGCACAGGCTGCACCGGCACCTAATCACAATGGTTATGACGATTCATGTCCAGTGGGTGCAAATATCTGTTCCTTGAGGCACATCTGATTGGTATTCTCGAATAGCCTGCTCAGGTTCAGACCATTTATCAGACTGTAACCGTTACTGCCGGATCTGCGACGTCCACCTCCAGCAGCAGTAGCAACAACGGCCAGTATAACAATGGAAGCAGCAATAACAACCAGTCGAACAATGGAGGCAGCAGCAGCAACAACAACAACCAGAACAACAACAGTGGAAGCAGCAGCAACAACCAGAACAACAACGGTAGCAGCACCAACAGCCAAAGCAGCACTACGACCTCATCTGCCGCCAGTACCGTGACCAGTACCATCGATAAAGGTCATCAAACCAACACCAAAGGCAATGGCAGTGAGTTCTCATAGTCATACATAAAAAATGTGTATTAAACGTCGATCGCTTAGACAATGGCAAGAACAACAATACTGGCAAGAACAACACTGGCAAGAACAACACTGGCACGAACGGTGGTGGAAAGAATAACGGTGGTGGAAAGAACAACGGTGGTGGAAAGAATAACACCAACTCTGGCAAAAATACGTCTACGACTGCGGCCGCCGCGTCTGCGTCGGCCGCTGCCTCCACCTCGGTGGCCAGTGCTCCTCCTGCTGTGAGAATTAACATCGTCTTCTGGATTGATGTTGTATTCTGACATGAGCTCCACAGACCAACACCAACGTTGCGACCGGTGGGAACGCCAATGCAGCGCAGACTTCTCTCAGTACGTGTACTCAACTTCTCGCATTCCCAGCGCCTAATCATTCTTACTCTAGCTCTGGACCCCGGTGTTATTGCAAAGGGCTTCGCAAACGACGGCCAGGATGTCCCTGCTGCAGGCCAGGTCAAGTCCTTGACCTCCGTGAACAACTTCATCAACTTCTGCCTCACGGTCCCCAACCTCCCCATCACCGACGGCAAGCAAATCACGACCGGCTCCTGCAACCCCGCCCCCATTGGCACGATCCCCTCCACCGCTAACATGCCCTCCTCCAAGTTCTCGTTCCCTGCTAACTTCGGCACCGTCAAGGCTAACACCCCCTTCACAATCGAGATGAACATCCAGGGAATGCAGACGGGCTTCTTCGTCAATGCCCAGGAGAATTACTTCGCTGCGCCCCAGCAGCTCAATGCCCAGGGCCAGATCCAGGGTCACTCTCACGTCGTTGTTGAGACGCTCACCTCGCTCGACCAAACCACGCCCTCCGACCCTAAGAAGTTCGCCTTCTTCAAGGGCTTGAACTCGGCTGCAGTCGGTGGCAAGCTGACTGCTGATGTTACTGCTGGTCTCCCCGTTGGTGTCTACAAGCTATCGTCCATCAATACTTCTGCCAACCACGCCCCCGCTATTGTTGCTGTTGCCCAGCACGGTTCCCTCGACGATGCCATCTACGTAAGTTCCATAAGTCTGACATTAGTCGTTATGGTGTTGATTCGAACTTCGCCTTCACTAGTTTACTGTTACCGCTGACGGCAAGCCTGCCGCTGGCGCCGCCAGCTCTGCGGCTGTCAGCTCTGTCGCTGCGTCCTCCACCGTCGCAGCATCCTCTGCAAGCGTCAGCGCATCAGCGTCTGTTTCTGCCTCCGTCGTTGCATCGGCTACCGTGACCGGCAAGGCCGCCAGTGCTTCCGTCTCTGCCTCCGCGGCCGCAGTCTCTGCCACTGGCAAGGCCGCTTCCTCCGCCGCTGCTTCTGCCCCCGCCAAGGCCACCGCCAAGGCCACTGCAACTGCCAAAGCCTCCGCCTCTGTTTCTGCTGCGACCGGCAAGGCAGCTGCAACTTCCAAAGCCGCTGTGGCTTCCTCGAAAGCGGGCGTGACTTCCTCAGCGAAAGGTGCTGCAGCGACAGAAGCTACGAAGGAAAATGCAGAAACCTCACCAAAGGGTGCGCGCCCGGACACCAGGAACCGTCGTCGGTGGAGCCTCAGGAAGTAAAGTCCTGGATGGCTCCCTCTGCCCGCCCCCATATGTGCGATATCAGATTTCCGGCAAGCCCCTAGTTTAATCATGCATGATGGGTTTTTTTCTTACACGTACCTCGCGTGGGCTTGATTGCTCCGTGATTTTTCAACCATTCCTTTCGAGCTATTTGAGGGTGTTCTGTTTTCCTGGTTCCCCGAAAAATACCCGTTTGCTTTAAGCGTTACGTTAATCCTAGTTAGTGCGTCTTGTAGTCTTTTTGTTCATCCCACACCACCCACGAGCAGAGCAATTCCATTGGATTGGAGATCCACTTGCACGGTCTGATCCGAGAAGAGGATCGACTTCTTGAAATCTTCCATTGTTTCGACCATGTTAGGTAGGCAGGCCCATTCTCTATCCGCAGGCTCCCCCGACACGACACCTGATCTGAGAGGCGGTGTGGAGGAATGACTGATATTCAACGAGATACATCTGATTGGTTAGACTTGAGGGTACTTGTGAATAAAAAATCAGCCTTTCTTTGCTTCATTGTCTTCCCTCGAATGACGGTTGTGTCTGATACACGTCCCCGTCATGCCATCCTATTCGTTCTATTGAGGTGTATTTATTCAAAATAAAATAGTACACGACCTTTTTCTATCGTTGTTGGGAGTGCAAGGATACTACCATTCTGTGCGATAGCTATCCCGTGGCCCTCAGAGCCTCCCTCAAGGCGAAGGGTCGTTTGAACATACCCAAAGGGTGCTGGCTCTCTCTCTGTGCTCCTCCGGCGCCTCGACACATTTGACACCTGAAGCGTGAAGTCCGCCCTCATCACCGCTGGTCTCATCATTTTCGTCGATGTTTATGTCCATGTCATCCTCGTCCGAGTCTTCAAGAATGTCATCGAGGTGCGCTTCCATCGAGGTGCGCTTCCCACTCTGGCGGCGTTTCCGGTGGCCATTGAGATTCTTGATTGTAGACTTCGAAATCAACGCCACAATAAAATCGACGAGTAACAGCTTCGACTTGAGCTGCGAGCACGGTCATCGACATTCCAGCCCGCTCTTTCAATAGAATTCTTCGACAACAGCGAAGCGAGGGTTTAGTCGAAGTCTAGGACAAAGATTGTGGTCCGGCCAGCGTCGTCTGTCCTATTCACTAGCGCGCGAGTGTCGGAGACAGGTGTCAGTCGGACACCCTGAACGCGAGCGTTCGAGCGTCATTCGGATAATTGGATGTCTCGTGTAGCCCAACGACCAACATTATCCCATCCAGGCGGAACAGGGACTTTGGAAGCAAAGAGAAAGGTATCGGCCCTAAAACA